TACCTGACTATGTGAGGCATAAGATAAAAGACAAGGGACAGCTTCAGTGGAACTGCAGCTGTACCAGCTGGTGAGTAAATGTATATGCTTTCATAATGTTTTAGAAATAAAATCAGATTTTTGAGGTATGTATGGAATAGGAAAGTTAAGCATATGAGGTACTCACTGCAAGGGAGCTAGCAATACTATAAAGTCAGCTGGCTTTGGTTGCTACAAAGTTCAGTGTGAACAAAAAGCGCTTTTCTTCAATGGCTATCATTATAAATTATTTTTGGTTGGAGCTAGATTTTTATAAAAATTTCCAGATAGCAGAAGAGCCTGATCCCTTCTGGCAGCCCCCTGTGTATTTTCGCCCATCTTATATATAAAGTCAGTGCTGGACCTGGTTCTTCTGTCGGCTTCAGACGCTCTAAGGATCCCTGCCATTGAGTGTGGTGTGCCTGGTTTCCAGGTACCTAATGGAAACATTCTCCTAGCTGGGCACTGAGTTCTGTTCACGTGGGAGAGATTTCAGTTGCTTTCCACCTTCATCGTTCAGTTTGGAGCCTTACAGTCTCAGCTCTTTGTCATCAGCCCTCTCTGACCCTTTTAAAATCTTAAATATAAAAATTAATAGATCCCATATTACTCATTTAACCCAGTTTTCCTCATAAGATTAAATTCTATTATCTGCATGTAGCCTTTCAGTGTCTTTGGTCCTTATGAGTAAAAATTTCAAGTAAATTTTGATAAGCATTCAGATAATTATTGAGCATCGTATTCCGTGCTGAGTAGTATCCCAGTGCACAGGATGTTTTGTTTTTTATTAATTACATTGCATTATGTGACACAGTGTTATGGGCACTGGGATTCCCCCCACCCCTCCCCGAGCCCTCTCCCCATGGTGGGTTTCTCCACCTTGCTGCGTTACCACAGTTCAAATTCAGTTGAGGTTCTTTTATTGGAAATATTTACCAAGCATAAAGTCCAGCATCTTATTATCCTAGTGGGTTCAACAATTTCTTAGTGAGACCATCTCTGCTCTGAAGGTAAAGCCAGCAAAGTATCATCCCAATCAATTAAAAGCCCCAACATAACATCAACAACCATTTACAACCTTATGGCATTAATTGACATGGTATTGATTAACAGTATGTTAATAGGAAAATACGGGTTCTTAACTACATCCGCACAGGATGTTTTTAAAAAGATAACAGGAGGGCCTGGTGCAGCAGCTTAGTGGCTGAAGTCCTGTCCTTGCACATGCTGGGATCCCCATATGGGCGCTGGTTCTAATCTCAGCTACTCCACTTCCCTTCCAACTCCCACTTGCTGCCTGGAAAAGCAGTCAATTACAGTCCAAAGCCTTGGGACCCTGCACCCAAGTGGGAGACCCGCAGGAGGCTCCTGGCCCCTGGCTTTGGATCTCTCAGCTCTGGCCGTTGCAGGCATTTGGAGAGTTAACCAGCAGATGGAAGATATCTCTGTATCTCCTTTCTGTATATCTGCCTTTCCAATAAAAATAAAATAAATCTTTAAAAAAAAATGACAAGAATAACAGCTCACAATTGTTAAAAGAGGGGCCAGAGTTGGAGTGTAGCATGGAAAGCTACCACTTGCAACATCAGCATCCCACATGGGCATTGGTTTGTGTTCCAGCTGCTCTATATCTGTCCCCCTGCCAGTAGCCTCAGGCAAGCAGAACATAACCCAGCTGGGCTCTTGCCACCCACGTAGATGACCCAGGTGAAGTTCTTCCGCTAGCATGTAGGAAGCGAACAGATTGGAAGATCTCTGTATTTCTCTATCCCGCTCTCTGTAAACTGTTTCAAAGCAATTGACTTTTTAAAGTAAGTGTACAGTCATACAAAGCTTGTAATGAAATTGGCCTAGTTAGGCTGATAGTGAGCCTTCACCAAGGGTCAGCCACTCTGAAGAAGGTTCTGTCATCACAAGTTTTCCTTAAGTTACAGCGCTGACTGGTGATAAGGCAGGAGTCAGGTGGAAAAGCCTCCTGCCAGCAGGAAACTTTATGCACAAAGGCTGTGTGGAAAGCACCACGGGCCTTCAAGGAAGTGAAAGCAAGTATGGTTGAAGATTATACTGGAGAGGATTTAGGTAGAGGCAGAGGGCATAGTTCTTCCTGGTAGATCATAAAAGGATTTTGGTGATTTAAGACCAATGGGAATTTGTTAAGCCAGAGGGTTGGCAGAATCTATTTAAGAATTGCTAGCTGGTAACATGAGGACAGGAAATGACCCTTTTGGCTTAGTAAATAAATCTTAGCTAGTCGCCTCAGTGAGTGTGATGCCCAGAGGCAAAAGATGGCAAAGAACTTGGTTCATAAAGAGAATGGGACCAGAAAATGCTTAGCCACTAGAATAGATGGCAGTTTCTGAAGCCTTAAATGCAGAGGTTGTGGAGAAGAAAGCTATGGGGCTGATTTTTAAGTTTCCTTCTGGACTGCAGTGACTTACGAGTGGGAATTTTGAGAGAGAAGGAAGATAACCCAATGGGGTGGGAGTTGTGAGCTCAGTTGGGTTGCCTTGAGGCACCCAGAGAACAAGTAGGTCAGTTGGAAATACTGATCTGATTTTGAAAACAGGACTGGGGTAGGGCTCCTACCGCAGTGAGAACAAGGCTGAAGGCTTGGGGAGCGCCTTGTGAAGGATGAGCTGACAAAGGCTCCCACGGCTAGTGAGGCTGGGAGAGAACCAGCCCGGTGCTCTCTCAGAGGAATGATAATGTTGCTGGGAGATCAGATAGGACGCCAGGAAGGCACCCCAACCCTGTTAGCTTAGAACTGAACCAGGTTGAAAGTGAAGGCAGCAGCTAGAAAGGTGTGAGGAACAGTGACAAAATGTAATGACAGTGGATTTAATCAGACGTTTTGTTTTAGGTTGCACTTGTCCTGAAAGGACAGAGTAGCAGCTAAAGGATGATGCAGGGACAGTCTAGCTAAGAAATGAGTTAGGCTGAATATATAAGACAAGAGAACAACAATCACCCACTTTATAAGTCATGGGCGAGAACACGGCACACAGGTGGCAGGACTGGCCATACTGCCTCAATATGCAGGTATTGGGCAATTAGTGTGTGTCACGGACACAGCTGGAAACTAGCCAGTCACAAGCCCTGGCCTGTGGAGCTTAAGGCAGGAGTGGCATTTCATGTGTAAACAAGGAAGATAATTTGGTGGCCATTAACTGCTATACAAAGCCTGTATAAGGGAATGACAAGAAGACTTGTGCCAGCAATTATTATTATTATTATTTAACTCGTGTTTTTAAACATTTCTGTCTGGGACTGGCTGGTGGTGTGGCACTAGGAGTTAAGCATCTGCTTGGAGTGCTGGCATTCCATTTGAATACAGGTTTTGTGTCCTGGCTGCTCTACTTCTGATCTAGTTCCCTCTGATGTACTGGAGAAAGCAGCAGAGGATGACCCAGGCCCTGGGGTCTCCTGCCCTTCATGGGAGACCTGGATGGAGCTTTAGGCTCTTGGCTTTGGCTTGCCCCAGCCCTGACTGTTGCGGCCATCTGGATTGTGAACCTGCAGATGAAAGTCTGCCTCTCTCCCTTCCACCCAGAATCCTGCTCTCCCTCTGACTCTGCTAACACTGCCTTTCAAATAAAGTGTCTGTTAAAGCTTTTTTTATTATTGATTTTGAAACCAAGTGAGAGATCTTTTGTCCCCCTGGCTTCATTCCCCAGATGGCCACAACAGCGAGGGCTGGGCCAGACCAAACCCAGGATCCAGGAGCTTCATCCAGGTCTCCCACATGGATGGCAGGGATCCCAGGACTTGGGTCGTCCTCCAGTGCTTTCCCAGGCACATTAGCAGGGAGCTGGCGCAGAAATGGAGCAGGTGGCTGCTTTACCTGCACACTGATGGCCTCACAGATACCCTGTTTAAGTGTACAAGTTAGTGAAACTGAGAATCATACCCATTAAATGTCCCCTTACCCCACAGCCTCTGGTAGCCACCACTGTTGTGTTTCTAGGACTACTATAGATGCCATATAGGTGGAATGCTTCAGGTTCTTGTGACAGCCATATTTCACTGGCCTCAAAGGGTTATTGAGAAATTAAAACACATATGGCTAAATGACTTGCTTTTCTTACTTGGATTAAGGAAAAAAAGATTTTAAGAATTTTATTAGGCAGATAAGAGACGGTAAGCATTAGCTAGAGCCTGAGTGGGAGCTTCCAGTGGTTTGGGCACAGAGCTCTGGCACTCATGCATCTTACCATCTACGCTAACCACCCACTCCTAGAGTTTTAAGGAATGCAAATATGGAGCTTCGCATGGTGGCTCAGTGGCTAAATCCTCACCTTGAAGTGTCGGATCCCATATGAGCTCCTGTCCCTGCTGCTCCACTTCTGATTCAGCTCCCTGCTTGTAGCCTGGGAAAGCAGAAGACAGCCGAAAGCCTTGGGACCCTGCACCCAAATGAGACCAAAAGGAGGATCCTGGCTCTGGCTTCAGATCAGCTCAGTTCCAGCCATTTTGGTCATTTGGGGAGTTAATCAGCGATCTCTCCTTTGTGAAATCTGACTTCCAATAAAGAAAAATAAATCTTTAAAAAATAATGCAAATATGGTCAGAGTGGACCACAGGGCTCTAAAAAGTGTTGCTGCCTAAAAACGCGCTTTGCTCCCATTGTTCTGCCAAGACTGCCAAGCCTTAGGTCCCTGAATCTCTCCCATGTGTATTGGCACAGTTACCACCGTCTGCACTTCCTAGCTTCAAGGTATTAAACCTTGTTCAAAAATCGAACTGATCATCCAAAGGCCTGGACCTACTGCCGATCCTAGGGACAGGTCTGGTGGCGGCGGTCCAGGGAATTTGTTTAAGGACCCGCGCTGCAGGAACCTTTAGCCTCTGGACAGACCACGCGGCCAGGATGCTGGCGGGAGGCGGAGCCCCGCTCCGGCCCGCCCACCTCGGAGTTCCTCCAGCCCCGGGTGGCTCCGCCCTGCTCTGTCCTTCCTCTCCACGCCCAGCTGCTGCTCCTGCTTGCATTGGGGAAGCATGGACGCCGGGTGGGAACTGGGGGCAGCGGCGAGCTCCTCGCTGCTGCTATGCGCCCTGCTGCTGGTGGCGGGCTGCGCCCTGGGCCTGCGCTTGGGTCGCGGGCGGGGGTCGGCGGACCGCGGGGTGCTCGCTTGGCTCTGCTACGACGCCCTGGTGCACTTCGTGCTGGTAAGTACCATCGCCTCCGAACTCTGCTTACCCCACCTTCCTGGACCTGTGCCCCTAGAGGGACCATGGGATGCCCATGGTGGTAGCTACCACGTTCCTTGTAGTTCCTGTCGCTTGTCTGCTTGAAATGCCTGATTCCCAAAGCTGAGAAGCCAGAACTCCGCCTCTCCACTCGGAGACCTCAGCCTTGGCCACTTGGTCTTTGTAACCTGGACGGAACTGTTAAGCTGAAGTTGAGCTAGGAGGGGAGGGCAAAGCCTCTGTCTCAAACTGAAGGCCGGCACCGAGGCAGACAGGCCAGCCTGCGTGTCAGTGGTGATCACCATTCAGCAGGCACTCTCTAGGCGCCAGGCTCACTGCTGTTTGAAAGTGCTGTCTTCCGCAGCCCTCCTCACTCTGGCTACTGCGCCCGGCCACCTGCGAAGTTTGCTTTCTAATGCCGCACAGCTGGCGGTGATTCTGAGTTCCTTTAATCTGACTTCAAAGCCTGCCCTTGTCGGCCACTGCAGGCTTTAGGGAAATACTGTTAAAAGTGAACTTTCTGTGTTACCAGGAGGACCTGGAGGGAATGCTATTGAATCGCCCTCCTCTACCACGTGGGCTGGCGTGTACGCGCGCGCACACACACTTTCTCCTTAAAAACTATGACACTTTTTTTTTTCTCTCCAAATTTGACCTAGCTTTAATCTAGACAAACCTGTGGCTAATTGATGCCAAAGTTTATAGTATTGAGCAAGAGAAAGCAAAGTTCCTGAAGATCACCTGGGGGAGGAGGGTGGATATTTGTCAGCTGACTCTGTGCCCAGAGTAGGTGTTGGGATGGTGACTTTCCTTCTTTCCTACAATGTGTGCAAACATGACACAGTCACTGTTAGTACAGAATTAATTTTTAGGGCCTGGTGCGCTAGCATAGTGGCTAAATCCTTATCTTCCAACTGCCAGGATCCCATATGTATGCCGGTTTGTGCCCTGGCTGCTCCATTTCCCATCCAGCTCCCTGCTTGTGGCCTGGGGAAGCAGTTGAGGATGGCCCAGAGCCTTGGGACCCTGCACCCGCGGGGGAGACCTGGAAGAGCTCCTGGCTCCTGGCTTCGGATTGGCTCAGCTCTGGCCATTGTGGCCACTTGAGGGAGTGTCTCATTGGACAGATGATCTTTCCATCAGTCTCTCCTCTCTTTAAATTTTTCTAATAAAGATAAATAAAACTTTTTAAAAATTGCTTTTGAAAAAATATTTATTCAACAGACTGAGCGAGTGAGAAGGAGAAATTGATTATCTGCTGGCTCAGGCAGGTCTAGGCCAGGCCGCAGCCAAGAGCCAGAAATTGCTTCTAGGTCTCCCTCATGAGGAACAGCGGCCCAGCTATTTGAGCTGCTTCTGCTCTCCTGGGCCATTCACCAGGAAGGTGCATCGGAAGCTGGCTCAGTGGAGCACTCGCCAGCACGTAGGACGCAACAGCTTACCCCTTCGCACCACTGTACTGATTCCTCTAGATTTGGGTTGTTTTTTAAAGATTTATTTTATTTGGAAGGCAGGTGTTTACAGAGGGAAGGGAGACAGATTCAGTCCCCAAATGGCTGCAATGGCCAAAGCTGAACTGATCTGAAGCCAGGAGCTTTTTCCAGGTTTCTTCTTCCATGTCATCACTTTGGCTGTGGGAGACGTACCCTCTCTCATCCCCATGCTGCTGGGCTGGCCCAGTGAATTGCTGTTTTAGCTGCATGTTGATCTTTACGAGCTTAGACGTGGTGCTGTTGCCTAGCAACACCCCAGACTAGTTAGAAGCATTTTTTGGAGCCCCAAACAGTGCTTGCTTAATGCGCAGAAAACCCACCATTGATGTTGTGATGATGGGAAAAGGTAGATAAGTGTTGCAAAACACAGAGCAACGAATTGGGCAGTTACTGCTTAATTCCCTGGTTCCCCATGTGATCGGGGGAAGATTCTCGGATGAGAGATATGTGATCAGCTCATGTCCAAGTTCCTGGTTGGTCAGTGTATCTCATGGTCTTCCTTTGTTTGGTCGACGATGCTGTGCTTTTAAAGGGATTTTTGATGACCTGTCGGTACCAGCTTGAGCATTCTGTGAAGATGGCAGCCACATTCTGCCCAGACCTGCAATTTCTCTGCACAAATCATGGGAGGACCACACTGGCCAGCAAGATTTCTTTTGCTTCTTCTCTTTTTTCTTTTTCTTTTGATTAATTAATTAATTAATTTTATTTGAGAGGCAGAGTTAGAGAGGAGAAATAGATGTTTCATGCCCTGATTCACTCCTCAAATGACCGCAACAGTTGGAGAACTGGTTTGATCTGACATCAGGAGCCAGAAGCTTCATTCAGGTCTCCTGTGTGGGTACAGGGGCCCAAGTACTTGTTCCATCTTCTGCTGCTTTCCCAGGCAAATTCGTAGGGAGCTGGATCAGAAATTTAACAGCAAGGACTCAAACTGACACCCATATGGGATGCTGGTGCATAACCAACTACACCACGTATGCCACAGCACTGGCCCCCAAGATTCTATTGAAGAAGCAAATGATTCCTTGAGTCCAGTAATTGGAACCTTATAAGGCCATCTGGATCACTCCCTTAAGCTCCTTTTTTAATGATTTGTTTATTTTAATTGGAAAGGCAAAATTAGAAGAGACAGAGATCTTGCATCCTCTTGTTCACTTCCCAGATGGACACCATGGCCAGAGTTGAGGCAGTCCAAAGCCAGGAGCTTCTTCCTACTCTCCTACATGAGTGCTGGGGTCCAAGAGTTTTAGACCATCCTCTGCTAATTTCCCAGGTCACTAGCAGGGAACTAGAAGGGAAATGGAACAACTGGGACTGGTGTGGGACAGGCACCAATGTGAGATGCTGGTACCACAGGCGGCCGCTACGCCGACCTCAAGTGAGTCCCTTGTAATAGAGGACAAACAGGGACACCTTGGGCTAAGGAAGGTTCGGTTTCAATGCCAAATGGAAATACCATCAGAGAGCCATCCTAAGAATGTGCCACCAGAGCTGTGGGTGGGCAGTCCTGGTGCTGATGGGCAGAGTCCGTTAGTTCTGGGGTTATGGACAAGACACGTGAGTTACAGCTGTGACGGTGGGGTGGGGCTGTCCATGTGCCCTGTCCCAGAGCTGCAATTTGTTCATTAAGTCCTCATGCCCACACATCCCTGAGTGCCTGCCTGGGCACCAGGTGCTCTGCTAGGTGCAAACAGGAATGATGTCTCGGGTCCATACTGCTGCAGACACAGTTTGTCCCCTGTGGACTTGTGTAACTTCAGTGGAGGCAGTTCTTGCACACAGGTTCCCAAAGGAGCTTAGTTATTTTGAAACACAATTAGCGTTTTTTATTTCTCTCCGACAGTAACAACCATATAATGATTTCTCCCTTTTCCCTCTGGCTACTTGGACACTCAGAAGCATGTTAAAACTCTGAAACAACAAAAAGTGGTAGGTGCATGCACGAGTGTTTCAGAAAGTCCATGGAGAGTAGAATTGAGAAATGAGTTTATTTTGGTTCCAAAAATTTTTGAAATCCATGTGTATAAGGAGTGTTCAAAAGCTCATGGAGACATGCATCATGAAAAAGCTGTGCATGGATTTCAAAATTTTTTGTACCAAAAATTGTATTTTCATCCCATTATCCACAAACTCTTCTTATTTAAGTGGCTCAGAGCAAGAGAGACAGAGAACCCCCATCTGCCAAGTCATCCCAACCCCAAATACCCACTTTTATTTTTAAATGATTTATTTATTTCTCTTGGGAAGTCAGATTTACAGAGAGAAGGAGAGACAGAGAAAGATCCGTCTGCTGGTTCACTCGCCAGATTACCACAACTGCTGGAGCTGAGACAATCTGAAATCAGGAGCCAGGAGCTTCTTCTGAGTCTCCTACATGGTTGCAGGGTTCCCAGGCTTTGGGCTGTCCTCAACTGCTTTCCCAGGCCACAAGCAGGGAGCTGGATGGGAAGTGTGGCAGCTGGGATACGAACCAGCGCCCATATTGGATCCCGGCACATGTGAGGGCAAAGAACTTTAGCCACTAGGCTACCACACCGGGGGCCACCCCAAGCCACTTAACTGCAATACCTAATGCTGTGAACCTGTTGAAGTATCATTGCATATGTTGTTACTGACTCAATTTAAATTCTTATTTAGTAATTTTTCATAACTAGTATTTTAAAATTCTGCCATTTAGTTGAATGTTCTTGTTGTCACTGATTTAAAATCTTAAAAAAAAAAAAAAGAATTATGGGGAGCAGCATAATGGCATTGTGGGAACAACAGCTGCCTACCTTATGAGTACCAGTTCGAGTCCCAGATGCTCCATTTCCAATTTAGCTCCCTGCTAATGTGCCTAGGAAACTAATAGAAGATGAACCTAAAATGCTTGGGCTCCTACACCTACATAGGAGACCCCGGGGAAGTTCCTGGCTCCTGTCTTCAGACCAGACCAGCCCCAACTGTTGCAGCCTTTTGGGGAGTGAACAAGCAGGTGGAACAGCTCTCTCTCTGTCTCCCTCTCTGCCCCTGTAACTCTGCCTTTCAAATAAACAAACTTTAAACTTTATTTGACAGGCAGGGTGAGAGAGAAAGAGAGAGCAAGAAAGAGAGAGAAATTGGGTTTCTACCCATATGTCCACAACAGCCACGTATGAGCCAGGGGAAAGCAGGAGCTAGCGTTCTAGCTGGGTCTCCCACAGGTGTGACTGGGACCGAGTCCTGGGGCTTCCCTGTGCTGCCTTGCTGGGTGCATTACAGGAAGCTGCATTCGATGAGAACTGACACCTGCTATAGAATGGGAGTGCTCCGAGCAGCAGCTTAACCCACTGTCACAGAACTGTAGGAAGAAGAAATGGGTCAGTACTTCAAAGGGTTTGGATAGATTTGATTTCCTTTTATCGGGCAATATTTTACCCCGTTTTTGCTTCCTGACTCTAAACACAGTTTATAACTTTTATGTGTCTTCCTCTCCCTAGTACCTGGCATGATGCCTGGTTTTTA